GTAGCAGGAAACCTATGTGCCTGAGGAAATTTTTGAGGTGTTGTACAAAATGGAAAGTTGTAAAAATGGAAAGGCTACATGTGATAACAACAAACTAATATATAAGGCTTTATCTCTATCTCTAATTACATCCTTAGGATAAATTCTTTGAAGAGTATTTAGTGGGTCAAAAGATGTGCTTTGGATAAACAAATACTTGCAGGGTTTATTTTTACTACTCTTCTACTATTGAATGTATCTGATATTTATATAATAAAAAGTTTAAGTTACCAAAATCTCTTCACTATCTGTTTTTTTGGGATTTCTTCTACTCACCTTAAACCCTCTAAGATTGCCAAAAGCTATACAACAATCAAACTCTGCAAGTTCTTTCAAATATCATCCTACTTAGCTCTTCTACAATAAAACCTCACTACTCAAAGTATGGTCCTTGGAACAGCATCATCATCATTGTTTGGAATGTTACTAGAAAAATAAAATGTTTTTCTTCTGATAATTGAAAATGTTCCTTGTAAAAGCATTTTCCCGAAGAAGACAGTCAAATAACCAATAAACATACAGAAAAGTGTTCAAGTTAATTACTTGTCAGGGAAACGCAAATTAAAACCACAAAGGGTGTCTCTACCATCCACCAGAATGGCTAAAGTGAAAACACAAAACAGACACGTCAAGCATCGACAACGATATGCAGCAACGGGGGTTCATATACTAGGAATGGGCCAACTGGGAAAACTACTTGGGAAAACTGGCAATATCTACTAAGGCTGGACAAAAGTGTATCTTGGTTAGGCTGGTCTTGAACTCCTGATCTCAGGAGATCCACCTGACTCGGCCTCCCAAAGTGCTGGGATTACAGGCTTGAGCCACCGCACCTGGTCAAATGGTAGGTTTTTTAAAAGCTTATGTTAAAATATTTCTTTCTATGTCACCACATGGGCTTGATAGCAATACTTTAAAATTGGTGTATAATATTCTATTAGATTGATAAATTATTTACCTTGCTATTTATTATTTAGATATTTTTATTTGCTTTAAACCATTTTTCACAAGTATCAACAATTATGAATGTCTTTATTTATATATACCTTTTAACTTTTTGTCCTATTTCCTCAAATTTCATTCCCAGAAACACGCCATATTAAAAAAAAGAGTTATTCTGTTTATATTA